TAAGGACACGTGAAGATCGTCATTTAAAATTTCGGACTGATCTACATTTTTGATGAGTATAAATGGTTTGCACCATAAGATTATTATATTGAATTATGAATTCTTTTTCATAGTTAATCCAGCATAAGATTTCTTTCTGATTAGCTTTTGTAGCATAATATTTAGCATTTGTTGCTTTATCAAATAATTGTGCCAAGTCAAGTAATGAAATTATATCAGAATTTTAATAACCATCACTAAAATTTCAGTCACATGATTTAAAAAAGCAAAGCTTCAAGTCTCTGACTCATCTGAAATAATATTATTCTGAATACCATCAGCTATCATCTGAATGATATTCTCTGTTTCCTTTTTCTTGTGTGATTGGGATGTTTTGCTCTGGCTTTTATTTTGATTCTGATCCCAAAACTTTTTTACAGTTTTCAAGTCCAGAAATTCAGGTGTTGGCATGATTAATTGTATCGATGGAATTAAGTTATTATGTGATTTTTGAAGTTTTTTCCCTCTTATCTCACTACTAATCCTTTTCTTATGTATTATTTCTACAAAATCTAGGATCTCAGCTGAATCATCATTGATAATATCTTGTGGTAAAGAGGTTGTAGATGTTTCAGGCTCTGGCTCACACCAAAACTTTGTCTTTTCAGATTGGGTCGAGCTTATGTTCTATTTCTGGAGAATGGCTTTCGGTTAGTGGTGAAATATCTTTTGTAGATGCTTCCCATTCATTAGTAATAGCCTGGATCTGTTTCTGTTCCAATTTCATGATTCTATCTTTAAGCTCAGTATTTTCTTCTACTATCTGTTCCAATTTGGCGATCCTGGCCTTGAGCTCAGCATTCTCAGCTTCGCGTTTGGTGTTCTCTTCCATAACCCGTTTTAAAAGCTTGGCATTCTTGGCTTCAAGCTTAGCCTTTTCGGCTTCAAGCTCAGAAATTCGTTGTTTTAGTAAATCAATTTCAGATTGCATGTTTAGTAATAGATTGTATATAACTTATTATTTATTTAAAATGTGTAACAAAGTAACAAAAATTTCGGCGATCGAAGATTCCAAAAAATATGAATCAAATGTTTATCACAGGGTATCAAATCAAGACTAAATCATGAATAAAAACCATTGCAGATCGCGCAATCTGATAATTATTAATAGATTCGATCGTGGAATACTTTATTAATTTTTTATTATACTTTTATAGTAAGACTTAACAATTTCCATTTCATATCTCAAGAATATTATTTTAAGAATGCAAAGTAAATTTTACACGTACTCGCTAATCAATAACCACGTTACAAAAACGTTTCATTAAATCTAAATCCCAATGTATAGTAAATAAAAACTTTAATTTCACCTTTAATCATAGAACAATTGGCGAGGGCCAGAATGTCCTGATGGAGATGGTGAAGGTGGATCATCATAATCGTCGGAATCATCATGATCATGATACCACTGGATTTATGATACGTGATTTTTTTTCCCGTAGGTTTTTGCGGTGAACTCTTAGCATCACCTATATATCTTTTTAGTGTTGAAGATTGAAAGCGTATAATTGTATTTCGGCGATGTGATTTTTTGAGTTCCTCGAGTACCTCAAGAAAATCATCTAAACCTCTCTGTATGAAAAAGAATAATGATCAGAATGAGATGTTCCAATACCTTCAATACAAAGGAATGAAGATCTTTCTTACCCTAAGATTTCGCAAAACCCTTAACGCGTGAACCAGTTCATAATGGTTATCCCAACTGATTGGAAGATAAAAGGCACCAATAAGAAACATTCGGTAAGTTTTTGCAACGGGCAAATCCATGCCCCATATTTGTACTTCAAGACCTATACACAAGCAAAGACAATTTATTAACAAATGCAAAGATTAAGACTCAGTTTATCTATTAACTTACCATGTATATGGAAAAACCAAACACGTAAACGTCTCAGAATTTTATAGTCACCATGATTGTATTTTGTAATTATTTCATTAAGGAGATCACGGCATCCCCAATTTCCCTTTATGTGATCCTTTAAATAACGAGGTGTATCCTTGGTTAAGTATCCACCGGATAATTCAACCATGCCAATTTCTAGCCCTTTATCATTGGAGACTGGAAAGAACCATCAACTTTCATGCCCAAGGGTTCATCATCAGGTTTGAGTTTACGTCGTAATAATCGCTGCTTTGCACTAGCTTTAAGATAAATCTCACCTCTATTTTTTGAAAAAACTTGCATATTTAATATTATAAAGAATGAAAGTATTAATTTGATATTTTAATCAAAAAACATACGGCACGTATATAATGTGATTGGTTGAATTCACAAGGTATTGTAGTACTGGATGAATCATAAGCGATCCCAACAATGCTTCATTCTTATTTATACTATGGAAAGCCGATGTAGTGTTGAATATGTTTTTTGCACTTCAAAATTAAAATAAATTAAAAAATAAATCGAGAAATAAACAGTACTTCTACAAAACCTTTATACTTACAACCATAATAAGACATCGGTTACAAATGTCATTCCTATATTTTTCTCACGGTCAAATGTGACATTATAAAGACAATTTTTATACTCATTTAATGAATTCTGTTATTGATTAATAGTAAAAATATATAAATAACATTTTCATTAAAATAAATGAGCATCTGTACTATTTGTACTTACAGTTTCTAATAGTACACTGAATAGATCTTCAACTTCAGTTGATAAATTATAATGCGGATATTCAACACTTGAATTTAAATAATCCCAATCCTCTTGCTTAATCCATTCCGGCTTCCTGATTTTTGATCCAATGCGTATAATACCTAGACATGACGGGCTACATACAAATTACACAGGGATCAAGAGACATGAAGAGAAGCAATAAAGAAGATAAAACCTACTGCGATTTGTGCAGATTTTTAGGGCCATGAATTATTTTATCAATAGATTTGCCAGAAGGCAATTTCCAAATGTTGTCTGGACTGTCTTTATTGGGGTACTTTAAGTGACTTTGGACTGGTATCTGTTTCTCTGATAACTCAATATTTGGATCGATATCGTAGTTACTATAGTCTACACCATCATCATCATATTCTAAATCGTCGTCGTAGTTTAAATCTGCCTCATCATATTCTGAATCTGTCCTAATATCATCTATATTTTCTGCTTTATCAATAGTTTTTGTTCGTTTTGGAACTTTATCATCGCCCTAAAGATTAAGGTCTTCATTAGGAATAAAATCACAAAGTAATAAATATATCTAAAAAAAAATGCGTACATATACCTTTTCATGATCATTGTTCTTTTTCCTTTTTGGCACACTTTCTACGGATAATTTAAAAGTCCCACCATTAATGCTTCCAGAATTTCCCACCAAAGGATTTCCCGTAAATGTTGGATTATGAAGGTGAACTGAAGGTCCACCAATGGGACTAGTTGATTCATGCTCACTTTTCCATTTTCTCGCCAAATGATAATCAGGTCGGGCACCCTAACAAAGAAAATTCAAAGTGTTAGCGAATCCTTAACTAACAGATTCTTGACTTCCTTATTTATCCCACATGTTCAGCTTTTAGCCTTAAACTCGGCCAACCTTCTAGATTGCCCGCGCCCTGTGGGGCCAATGTTAGGTCAGCTTCTAGCCTTGAACACCAGGCAACCTTCTAGATCACCTGTGCCCTAACATTAGCTTCGTGGCTCGCCTTCTAGACTTGAATGACAGAAACCTTCTAGATCCCTGCCACGCCACCAAATCCTTAACTCAGAAGTTCTAAACTAACACTTGCCATTCTGTATTTTTCGAGCAGGATAAGTGCTTTTTGTTGTCTTTCGCCTTTTTCTTTATTAGAGATTTTTTCCAGAGATTTAAGGTATAGCCCTATCTTCTGATCAAATTGTTCCGGATCACCTTCATCTAAGAAGTTTAAAATATTCCATTTGGAAGGCACGCGATTGAAATATTCAAGAATCTGTTTTAGAGCATGGACAGGGGAAAAGGCAGGGTTACTATTGTGTTAGACCCCGTAAAAAAAAATCGATAAGTTATCTGTGTCAACTTTCGTGCCTCATCGTTTTCATTAGGCGTAGTCATGATTATGGATTAGATTATCAGTCGTTACCCAATCTATGTAAAAAATAAAAATCACATGACCGAAATTTCAGCGACGGCCCGTCGTCGAAATCGGATTTATAGCATAACAGTCAAGAGACATGTCCCTTTACATGGGTTCAAAATGTTATAATTAATATCATTGACATGTCGATCACTCGATTTT